GCCGCCCCGGACCCCGCCCAGGGACCCGAAACCCCCGCTCCGCAGCTGCCCCCGCCCGCGCCAAGCACAGCAGCGGATGGCCGGACAGGCAGCAGAATTCCTCCCCGCCTTCGGCCCCTCCAACCCAGCTTGTCCCACAGCCGCGCTCCCTGCCTGCTTCCTGCTCCCACTGCGGGTCCCGTGCCACAACGACCTGCCCGAGGCCTCGGGCTTCCCCGCTAGGCAGCAGCTCCTGCCCTGGAGCACAGCTCCAAAACCCCACCTTGTCTCTATTCTGGATGCATGATGCAACCCCGGTGGGCAGCTCAGCCCTCGGCTGCTTTAGTTCATTCTTCTCAGCGGGGTGGTGAGAGAACTGGGAAGGGGAAAGTGAGAAAACTGCTGGCTGAGATAAAGACAGTTTTACAGGTGAAGCAAAAGCCACACACAAGCAAAGCAAAGCAAAGCAGGGAGTTTTTTCACCCCTCCCCGTGGCAGGCAGGTGCTCAGCCATCCCCAGGGCAGCCGGGCTCCAGCACCTGAAGGTGACTTGAGAAGACAAACGCCATCACTCTGAACGGTCCCCTCCTTCTTCCCCCAGCTCTATATGCCAAGTATGATTCCATACGGTGGAATATCCCTTGGGTCAGCTCTTCTGTGTCCCCTCCCGAGTCCTTGTATCCCCCCAGCCTCTCAGTGGTGGGATGAAGAGCAGAAAAGGCCTCAAGCTGTGCAAATGCTGCTCAGCAGTAATGAAAACATCCCTGTTATCAACACTGTTCCCAGCACAAATCCAAAACACTGACCTACACCATCTAATATGGAAAACCCAGACTCTATCCCAGTCCAAACCCACACATTGTTGTCGCTGTGGAGGTGTCAGGATGCTGCTGCTGCCACTGTGCCCATACTCTGTGCCTGGCTGGCTGCTGACAGCGCTCCATCCTCGCAGCAGTGCCTTGTCTCAGCACAGTGGGCAGGGACACAGCTTCGGAGCACAGCTGGGCCAGGTGACACGGGCACGTGTTGGCAGGACAGCCACCACGGCCACCAAATATGCTCCTGAGGCAGCCTCTTGCCGCAGCACTGCCGTGGATACTCGCAGTAGAGGCAAGTAATCGAGGTCTCAGTCTCCAGGATGAGAAGAAACAGCAGAACTGGGCAGCTGGACCTGGCCCAAATCCTGACTGAGCCTGCAGGGAACACGTGGGAGGTGACAGCACCAACAGTGCTGGGATGCTGGATGACACCTGGGATGGGGCCCCAGGTCACCAACTCCCCTGTGGGCTCACGGGTCTCTGTGGGTCTGCAGAGGCTGCAGCAGCAGCAGAATTCAGCTGGTCCGGCTGCTGGAGGCGTTGGTGCTGCTGCTCCGAGGGCAGCGCAGTGCTGAGGGCAGGGGCCCAGGGATGTTCCAGCCCAGGGGACGAGAAGGGACCTGCATCAGGGACAGCCCTGGGGCCACAGCAGGTGCTGTGGAGCTGCCAGTGCCAGGCTGGGAGGGTGAGTGAGGCCGGGAGGGTGAATGAGGCCAAAGGGATTGCCAAGCAAAGTGCAAGTGATGGTTGAGTGGCCGTCATGGACTGTGGCCAGCTGGCGCCCAGTGTGGGCTGCAAATGCACCCTGGGTGCCCTGGGCTGGGTGCTGCACGATCCCGAGGCCACGTGCAGGGGCCAAAGCCAGGTCTGTCCATGGCACTGGGGACAGGTCCCTGTCTAGAGACAAGCGCATCCGCTCGCAGCCCAGCACTGGCCGAGTCATTGTCTGGGCTAAATGAAAACACATGTCTGGCCTCCTCTGCGTTCTGCATGGCTCACAGAGGTGCTGACAGTGTAAACAGGGATGGGGGGAGCAGCCTGGCTGGGTTCTTGGGAGGGCCCCATCCACTCTGCAGATCCTTCCACCCAACCACAGCCTGACTGCTGCACCAACAGGCTCCCTCCTTCCCGAGCATGGCTGCTCCCCACAGCAGAGCAGTGCCAGGGCATGGCAGAGGGATACAGGGGGCACAAGGGCCCCCCCAAAGCTTCAGCTCTCTGAAGGCCTACTTGCTGGCAGACCTGCCCTAGGGGCAGTGTTAAAGGGGACCAAACTGGGGACACCACAGAGCCAAACACTGTTCCTGGCATGAGGATATGCTGCCCTATGACCTGGGGCAGGGCAAGCCTGAGCCACGTCAGTGTGGGCAGGCCAGGAGCCGCAGCCCCCTTGGTCAGAGGGGTCAGGAGGGCCCTGGGGCCAGCAGATGTCCCTTTGACACTTGTGGTTCCTGAAACCGCACAAGTTCCTCCTGGGGGCCACAGGCTGTGGCTGCAATTTCACAACATGCTGGCGAGCGTGGGGAGGGCTCCCTGCCCAAAGCCCCGGGCTGCTGCGAACGCTTCTCAGCTGCTGCTGGCTCTGGGAAGCAGAACTGGAGCTCCTGGCTTTGCTCCTGCACCGAGCACAGCAGCCTTGCACAGCATGGCTGCACTGCCGCCAGCTCCCAGCAGTTCCTGTCCAGGGCTCAGCTCTTCCCAGAGCTGACAGTTCTGGGGCTGGAGGCATTTCTGGGGCCGGAGCCACGTGCAGCCAGGGCTTGGAGAAGACACACAGCCAGCACACACACACACACCTCTGAGGATGTGCCCTGGGAATGGCACTGGGATGGGCCCACTTTACACCTGGCCACAGCTGGCGGCCCCATCACCCACACTTGCTCCCCCTGCCCCACAGGCACAGCCACTGTGCTGGAACCACAGTGGTGAGGGAACTGCTGCGTGCCCTGTGGTCACAGGAGCAGAGGGACACAGACACTGTCTCTTCCTGTGTGAGACTTTTCTCTGAAACAGAAAACCCGTCACCCCAGCCATCACCTCACCCAGCTGATGGGAAAAGGGAAGGAAGATCAGCTTCTGGAGAAAAAGCCTGATGAAATCGCCCTCCACCCAGGGAGTTCCATGGCACACAGGGCAGAGTTGTAGAGCTGGGGCTCAGCTACAAACCCAGAGTGGGGATGTCACCAGAGCCACCGACCCACCGCAGACAGTTCTGTCGCAATTCAGGGCTGGGCACTAAGGGCTGCAGTGGGGCCTGCCAGCATTCCAGGACCTGGGCACTGTCCCAGGGCCGGGAACACCCTGTGGTGGCGGTCCCTTGCCACCAGGTGCCACTGCCGAAACACTTGCACCACACCTGCTGCAGCTCAGTCAACACTTTACAGGAGAGCCCAGGGCCAGGGCCAGAGCTGGGAGCGCTGCCTGCCACCCCCCATGGACCCCGGGCTAGGAGCAGGCTAGCAGGGCCTGCCCACATCCCTAGGCTGCCTGCACGCCTCCACTCGGTCCAGATGTCTGTTAAATAAACTCAATGCCCTCGTACTTCACACTCCCAATCCTGGTCTCGGGCAGGAGGAAGCGCCCGTCCAGCGTGAAGGCCATGATGTAGCTGGAGATTTTGCCATTGTCCTCTTCTGATTTTAGTGCCACGATGATCTGGTCGTCTGTGTCCGGGATGAACTTGAAGGAGGAGAAGCCGTGGGTGGGAACCACCTCGCCCACACGCCCCACCGTCACATCCCCGAAGTCCTGGGTGGAGCTCAGCAGCAGGTTGGTGCCTCGCTGCTCGTCTGCCTTCTCGCTGTAGCGCTCGTGGCTGGCGCGGCGCGGCAGGAAGAACCAGCGCTGCAACGTGTCGCTCCAGGAGGCTGACTCGTGGATCAGATACCCTGCGGCAGGAAGTGGAGTGTGACCACACAGGCCACAGGGGCACCAGCCACGCTGGGGCAGGACCCTTCCCCTTCGAAACACCCCACAGCCCTGCAGAGTCATCCCCTAGGAACTTTTCTGCCTGCTCTTGCCTCACTGCCTGGCAGCACCCTCCAATTCCTCCCAGAGCCAGGCAGGGGCATCCAGCACACCCCACTCTGCCTGGGGGCCCAGCTGCCAGGCCCAGTGCCAGCTGAGCCACCCTTCAGCCGCTCCTGGCACAGGCAGCAGAGGAAAATGACCAGGACAAGGGGAGATTTCTGGCCTCCAGCAGCCTTTAAATGTCACCCAGTGCCAGCATCCCCGGGGAGGGTGACTGCATGGCTCTGGAGCCATCAAGAATGTGGGGTATGGGGTGGCAGGAGGTTGCCGTGCTCCATACCTGGGGGCCGGATCCCCGCTGCAGCCCTCAGCGCATTGTAGTTTGTCACCCAGTTCTCGTGGCTCACGTCACCCTTGTAGCCAATGACCTTCACCCACTGGGGGTTCTCGTTCACCACTTCCCCTGTTGTGGTGGTCCACTCCTTGCCCAGTCCTCCCACATACAGGTGCTCATCCTTCACTGCCAGCCACTCCGCCTTGAAGCCTACGGTGGAAGGAACAGCATGAGGGGGGCTCAGTCAGCACGTGGCCATCAGACTGTCCCACATACCCCAAACCCTACACCCCTGAGCCTGGTGCTGGGCAGCGTCCCCAGTGCAGTCAGCTGGTCTCTTGGCAGGAATTGCCCTGTCTTGGCCTGGCTCAGAGATCACAGGAAAGGTGCACCCCACCCCAGCAAGCGGAAAAGAGCCTAGGGTTTCTCAGGGCAGGACGGGAGCTCACCTTTCCCCACAGTGCCATCCCCATCTGGGAGGATCACCCAGGGCACCACCTTGTTGCCCTCGATCTGGTAGACCACCCCTGTCCGGTCGTCCACTGCGTACAGCTTCCCATTGAAAACCACCAGCTCGGAGAGCTCCATGCCCCGGCCCTTCTCAGCCAGGTGGGACTGCAGCATGCTCTCATCCTTGTCCCACTCCACCGTCACTCTGTCCCCGCTGTCTGACAGTACCAGGTAGCCCTTCTTCAGGTAACTGAACCAGGTGTGCTCCTGGGAGCCCCGGGACTGTGTGTCCAGGTCCGCAATGACGCCGATGCGGTAGCGCACGCCCTCGGGGTTTCTCTGCGGTGGGGACAGCGGGTAGGTGTCATTGTAGCGGTCTCCTGCCTGCAGGCCGAGCTGCCAGGTGCGAGGGCTGGGGGGGCCGTGCCGCGCTGGGGAGGAACGGTGCAGGCAGAAGAGCAGCAGCACAAGCCCCACGCAGGCTGAGGACAGCACGATGGCCCTCCAGCGCAGTCGGAAGCGGGGGTCAGCACCCTTGGTCATGGACGCGAGGACGGGCAGACCACCCACGCTGATCCGGAGGGGGCTCATAGACTCATGGCAGGGCGGGACTGGCATCAGAGAGGGGGCGAGGAGAACCTGGTGGGAAGAGGTGAGGGAGAAGGTCAAAGAGCTGGATTTGGTGCTGACTGAGCTCGGGGGACAGCAGAACACAGCCACGAGGGGTCCCATCCCCTCTCCTGCAGTAGAAGGTGCTCCCACCTCATGCAAGTAAGAGCCACCACGCCCTGGGGCTGTTTGCTGCTGAAGCCACCCTCAGCCCCTCTCACCTGGCTCCCTCTGCGCCCCCTGACCAGGAGCCCCGGTGTGCTGGCCGGATTGCACGACCTGCCCGGCACCTCTATCTGTCCCATGGTCACTGCAGCTCAGGCAGCGAGCTGAGGCACCTGGCTCAAGGCGAGCCCAGTGTCACAGTGTCCTGGGGCACGTCCCCAGAGAGTCCTGGGAGGAAGCAGGTTCCCCTCGGATGGCAAGGATGAGCCTTGCTGCCTCCAGAGTGGCTGGGCGGTCTGGCTCAACTCCCATGGCCCTGAGAACCGACCCCACTGATGAGCCGTGAGCTTGTCCCCAGGCCACACAGGGACACTGGGAGACACGTGGCAACTCCGCCCCAGCAGGATGCCGACACCTGAGCAGGAAGCGCAGTGCCCAAGGGACACACACCCTGACCTGCCCAGCCTCACAGACACGGGACCCCCTCATCCCCGCCCAGGTTCACATCGTGTCCTCCACACCTGAGCATCGTGAGCCCACCCTGGGCCGTGCCCACCCGCGGTGGCCCCTCGGTGCCACCTCCCTCCGTGCAGCACAGGGGACGTGGCAGCACCCCAGGCTCCCGCACACGGTCACTCCGGGCCCGGAGCAGCCAGCACTGGACCCGCGCCCACCCCGTGCCTGGGGCAGAGCCCCCATCCCGGGGCAGAGATCCCCAGCTGCCATCGCAGGGCCCATCCCGCAGGGTCTCAATGTGCCTTTCAGAGTGGCAAACAGAGGCGGCATTGAGCGCGGAGGGCCGGCCCCGGACAGGGGAGCTCCGGCGCGGCACAGGCACGGAGCCCGCGGGTCGGGGGCACGGGAGCGCTCCCGTCCTGCCGGGATCCCGGAGCGTGGGCCTCGGCAGAGCCCCGCGGGCTCCTCTCGCTGCACCGA